TCTGGGCTGTCGGGTGTTCTGGGCTGTCGGGTGTTCTGGGCTGTCGGGTGCTCTGGGCTGTCGGGTGCTCTAGGCTGTCGGGTGTTCTAGGCTGTCATCTTTACAGGAGCAGATTGCCAGGTCTTTCTCCTGTGGTGCTGCACTGCATTACCCAAACCCACCAAACCCACTGCTGTTGAGTCAATTCTAGCTCACAGAAACTCTAGGGGATGGGCAGAACTGCCCTGTCGGGTTTTCAAAAATGCAAATCTTTATGGGAACAGACATAAAGAACATCTTTCTCCCTAGGAGTGGCTGTTGTGCCTGAACCACTAACATTGCAGATGGCAGCTAAGTGTTTAACCCACAGCACCAGCAGGGCCCCTTAATTTCATTTGAGGATAAAAAGCTTCTACAGTCCCAGGCCTTAGGCTGACATTAGAGTTGCCTGATAACGTACCAAAGACCTTTCTGGAAAATATCCCACACCCAGGAATGTGGGAATGCTAACCATCACATTCCCACTCATTTCAGGGAGTCCTGGAGAAACACCACGAGAACAAACGTGCACAGCGAGAGCCTGTGATGTCACATGAGGCAATGAGCTTTAAATCCTAAACAGGAGAGCAAAGTGAAAGAGGGCGAGAGAAAGACATTCTACCTTTCCAAACCAGCCATTTCCAATTTCCTGGATGTAGTTCAGGCTGTGGCGTGCGACTTGAGACTTCAGACCTTCTGTAGAGAAAAAGAGCATTGAAAAATACAGGTAAATTATGAAACACAGAAGCTACAAACTACACACACGAACACAAGCCTAATGACTGTATTAATAAAGGCAGACACAAATACATTTAAAAAAAAAAAAAAGCCCTTGAACAGTGGCAAGACAACTTTCAGTTTGAACAATGACAGTGTTTTCGAATGCTCTCAATTCATTATTCTTGAAAGCGTGGCACTGTTTCTCTCCGATACAACCATTCTACACCAGCCCCAACCCCCCCCCCATGCCACCAAGTCTATTCCCGCTCATACTGACCCTACAGGACAGCAGCCGCTCCATGTATAAATCTGTATGGGAGCAGGCAGCTTCAGCTTTCTCCTGAGGAGTAGCAGGTGGCGTTTGAACTGTTGACCTTGAGGTTAGCAATCCAGTGTCTACCCTACAGTGCCACCAGGGTTCCTTAGTTAAAGGATTGTTGCTGCTGTTGTTAAGTGTCTTCGAGTCGATTCCGACTCATAGCGACCCTGTATAAGGTTTCTGAGAAGTGGCTGGTGAGCTTGAACTGCCAACCTTGCAATTCAAACTGACCTTGCAGTTTAGTGCATTAACCTGCAGCCCCATATAAGAAGACTTAATACTGTGAAGATGTCAATTCTCTGTAAATTGCATTCAAGGCAATGCTAATAAATATTCCAATCTTCTTCTTTTTTTTTTTTTTAAACTAATGATACACTGATTCTAAAGTTTATACAGTCAAGTAAAGGAGAAAAATAATAGGAGAAAAGGACCTAGATAGAATAGCCAAGGCAATTCTGAAAAAACGACAAGGAATGGGCTCTCATCCTACAAGAGACTTCTATTGTAAGATGTCTGCTGTAGGGAAGTCGATGCACACTTCTTAGAGGCTCTTGTGACCCTTGGATTCTGGTCATGGCAACCCCGTGGCTTACAGGGTGGAATCACTTCAGAGTTTTCTCTACTCGGGAGACTACCAGGCCTTTCTTCTGCGGTGCCACTGGGTGGCTTCCAATCACCGACTTTTAGATTAATAATGGTACCAATCATCTGTGCCACCTGGGGACCTTAGAAGCCAATAAAACTAAGACAGTGTGGTAGTGGGACAGGAATTCTGAGTCAAGTCAACAAATGAAATAGAGAGTTTCGCACAAACCCACACCCACAGAATTAAAAAGCGTAGGGGAAAGAGGAGCAATCAATAAATGAAGCTGGAAACAATCGCCATCAACACCAAAAACTTACACTGGGCTCCATTGTGCTAATGAGTAGGGCTGCTAACCTTAAGGTCAGCAGCTTGAAACTACCAGACATTCCAAGTGAGAACGATGAAGCTTTCTGCTCCCATAAAAATGTACAGCCTTGAAACCCTATACAGGGTCGCTATGAGTAGGAACTGACTCCAAGGCACATAACCATCAACCAGCTACCTAACACCACACTTAAAAATCAACCCAGGGTGAGTTATGGGCCTAAATGTCAAAGTGAAACTCCCAAATTTAAGGAAAACAACAACCAAAACTACTAGGTAAACATCATTTTGATCAGAAATAGGGAAAGATGTTTTCTTTCTTTCTTTCTCTTTTCAACAACCCTTGTTTCATCTCATGAGAAGATATCCAGAGAGAGGACAGGATGGTGCTACATCAGCCGCTCAGCACTGTGGGGACCGGCCCCACTGCGGTATGTCTACTTTAGTGTTTCAGCAGAAAGAGGGGGAAAGGTGGCCTAGCTGCATTCGTCCCTTTAAACAGGGAAGCAAAAGCTTTCTCTGAAGTCCCCTAGCCAAAACTGTGTGCTGAGGCCACGCCACAGGGCAGGGTTTCTTGACACAAAAAGTTCTAAAAAGCTCTTTAAAAAAAAAAAAAATTAAAAGCGAATGTTAAGCTTGATGATATTAAAATTAGGATCTCTGTTCACTGAAAAAGGAGTCTGGTGGTACAGTGGGTTCAGCATGGGACTGATATCCACAAGGTCAGAGGTTCAAACCCAATAGTTAGAAAAGGAGGCAACTGACAGGGAGCTCCTATTCTTAGTTCTATTAAATAATTCAGGAACGCTATTGAGATGGCCAGGTCTTACCTACAGAAGGCTGGAACTGGGATGGAGCTGGGAGTGAAATATTTGGTACGGAGAGTGTGAAGACTTCTGCTGGGGACTGAACAGACGGAGTGTCTTCTGCTGGTGGTGTGAAATCAATCTCATCGTCAAAGTTGTCTTCAAACTCCTAAATAAAACAACAGTAATGTCACTTCTAATAGAAGTCAGTTTGAGAGCCAAAGTACTCAGCATGTGACAACATGGAAGACACAAACATTCATCCACTACTTGGAATATGCAGCCAGTGATTTCTATACCCTCTAGTGGCACCGTGGGCTAATGTGTTAGACTGCAAGGTGGGTTTGAACCACAGGTCAGTGGTTCAAGCTCACCAGCCACTCTTTTGAAACCCTACACAGGGTCGCTATGATTCGGAATCCACTCAACGGCACTTAACAACAACAGTGGCGAGGTAGGATACAGCACTGGACTGCAAGGTCACTTGAACTACAAGGTTGCTGGTTCAAAGTCACCAGCCACTCCCTGAAAACCTTATCCAAGGTCAGTAAGAGTTAGAACTGACTTGACGGCACTTAACAACAACAATAAATCCAAACTAGGGAGCGCGGTTGGCGCCACAGAATAAGCACTGGACTTTGAATCACATAGTCAGAGGTTCAAGCCCACCATCCACTCCGCAGGAGAAAGATGAGCTTTCTGTTCCCGCAGATTTACAGGCTCAGGAATTCTATATAGGGTTGCTATGAGTCTGAACTGACTCAACGATACTTAATCACAACAAAAACAGTCCACACTCACCTCCAGTAATACACATATGTAATTGTGTTCTCCAAGCCCTATGAGCAAAACAAGGAAGATTTGGAAATAAGCCAAATTTTCACAATGAAAATTTCAAAAATGACTGTGCGACTTCACAAAATGGAAAATAGATCTCAGAATTTTCATGTATAAATGATTAAAGGTATTTAATCATTTTTTTAACTATTTACTTACACAAATCTCTTTGCTCACTGTAAAAAGTTAACACAAATTTATTTTCATTTGTAGTATATGTGCATTTCTAGTTGCAATGTGATTTCTATCAAAATAAGAGCAGTGAAGAGATCGTTTTAAGTGTCCCCCACTTTCTCTGCATGAGTGCTTATTTCCTCTTTTCTGTTTTGTTTTGTTATCTATTCTTGTCGTGTGCCTTTTTAATAACTACATAGTAGGTTTTAGAGAAGGGCTTCCCTGCTGGTTTCCTGGCAGATCCCGGTCATCAGCTGTGGCCCTGCATCCTTCCAGGCATCACATCAGCCAGCCCTGAGGGAACTCAGGGTTTCCAAGAACGAAATGTGCACTCTCTTCCTCATCACACACAAAGCACAATGGGGGATCCCTGGGGTTCAACAACCTTACAGACCACAAACAACAAACTCACAGCTGTTGAGTCAATTCTGCCTCTCTCTGTAGAACGGAAGAGAACTGCTCCGTAAGGTTTCCAGATTGTAAATCTTTGCGGGAGCAGGCTGCCTCATCTTTCTGCAGAGCAGGTGGTGGAATCAAACCGCTGGACTTTCTGTTAGCAGCACAATGCTTAGCCAACTGTGCACCTGTTGTGGCTAAGTGCCATCAAGTCGGTTCTGACTCACAGCAATCCTGCATAGGTTTCTGAGGCTGTAAACTTTCATGGACACAGAAAGCCTCATCTTTCTCCCGCTGAGCAGCTGGCGGGCTCAGACTGCTGAACTTATGGTTTGCCATCCAGTGCTTAGCCCATACAGTCATTGTGCTCACTACAAACACACTATTGTTGTCATTAAGTGCCTTCGAGTCAGTGTTCAGGGTTTCTGAGGAGTGCTGGTGGTTTGAACCGCCAACCTTGTGATTAACAGTCCAGTACTGATCCTACAGCACCACACCAGGACAAACACGATAGTCTCCTAAATAACTAACTAAAAACCAACTGCTCTTCACACCAACAAGTTCTGTCATCATGCCTCATTCCTCAGTGACCAAAAAAATAAGCTCACCATGGCCAAGTGGTTACTGTCAACAACGTCCAAGACAGGGGAGTCTACACATAGTCTGTGGGCCACATTGTTTTCAACACTGCCCAAGGCAGCATTGAGAGGAACAGTAGTGACAGAGGTCCGTGCCTCTGAGCATGGCCCACGATTTCCACTACTTACAACAGCTGAAAACACTGACTTACTTGGCCCTACAGAAAGTTTGCTGAGCTCACCTTGAAGTCTATTTCTGGCTCCTTACAGCAGGATACGCAGTTGGCAATTAACACTATTAGGAGCATTAAACTGCACACAGAGGGGATCACGAAGGATAAGGAAATTTCTGCAGCAGGCACTTCCCCTGAAGAGAGAGAGAGAGAGAGAAAGAAGATTACCAACATGTACATTCCAAAGCCAACTTTAGTGAGCAAACCAATCCATTTCCCTCCCAGATAGAAATGTGTCCCTGAGTTAGTGACTGCCAACACACTCCAAGAGCTGCCGATAAATCCAAAATCCAGGAATACGGGGCTGTGTTGTAACTTTTTATTGTGAAGTAGTCTTAGATTTACAGAAGAATAGCAAAGACGGTACAGAGAGAACCCCGCCAGGATACCCTCTTCAAAATGAAGAGACAAAACTATTGACCAGACATTACTCAAATTTCATTAGTTTTTACTACACGTGTCCCTTTTCTGTTCCAGGCTGCCAACTTTGCGGTTAGACACGTCTCTGGGACAGGGTTTCAGTCTTCCTTTTTATCTGATGTGTTTGAAGAGGACAAGTAATCCCCACCTTAAGATGGGGTTCTGTTTCAAGGACGCTCCTTCCTGCATGTGTTCTGATGTAAGTCGAGCAGCTCATTGAGGCTGCTATTGTGTGTGTGTGTGTGTGTGTGTGTGTGTGTTATCAATGTCTTTCTAAATCCAATCTGTATGTGCTTTCTGACAGGCTTCACCAATGGAAAGTTACGATTCTTCCATTTTCATACTCTTAAATGTAAGCCTCGAGGTCCCATCCACACTGACAGGGAAGGAAATCAGGCCCTATTTCCTGGAGAGAGGAGGAGAACCAAACAATCTGTAGATGTGTGCTTTGTGTCTCTGGGGGTTGGAAATATTACAGTGGAGAATGATAACATCAGCACATTATGCGCTGCAATGCTGTCTGTAAATACATATCGCTAACAATAAAATGCACCAAAACCAAACAAACATAACCCACAGACGTTCCTAATCATCACAACTCAAGTACGTCATGAGTCAGAGACTATCTGTACTGTCAGTTATTCTGAAGACTGGGGCATGTCAGTCTCATGATTAGACGGAGGTTACGGATATTTGGGAAGACTACCACAGGACTGAAATGCCCTTCTTGTCACATCACAGGAAGAGCCCATGATGTCAACATGTCGTTATCACTGGTGGCATCAGCCTTGCCTTCACGGGTTGGGTGCTTTCTGATAGGCTTGACCACTGGAAAGTTTCCATTTTTCCCTTTTCACAGTCTCTTCCTTAAAATCACACCAAAAAAACAAATCCATGGTCACTGAGTCTATATTCCAACTCATAGCAACACCATATTGGGTTTCTGAGACTGTAAATCATTACCGGAGCAGACAGCCTCATCTTCCTCCTAAGGAGCGGCTGGTTGACCCTGTGGTGAGCAGTCCAACACCTTAGCCCACAAGTGCCACCACAACTCCTCCTCAAGTCACAAAGTCCCATCAAGACTCACAGGAAAAGGAACGGAGCCCTACTTCCCAGACGGAGGGGCATCGGTGAATCTATAGATGTGTGTTCAAACAACTACAGTAACTCAGAAATGTTTGGGGACACCAGCACGGCTCCAATACTACCATTATTTATGACATGACTCAAAATTGTTCCCGCTTTGGTCGCTGGGAGGGCTCTTTCACTGTGTCATCCTGACATGCCCTAGCCTCTTCTCTTTTCTCAACTCCCTGGCATTACAAGAAGCTGTGTGCTCCCCTTGTATTTTTTTCTCCTCCAGCTCCAGAAACAAGTCATTTCTCCAAGAAATCTCTGGGCACAACAAGAGTTTTTCTAACCAGAGCCAGCTTGTTAAACTACAACTACAGTCTGCGGCTTGTTTTTGAACTTGGAGCTAGGGGTGTGAGTAAAAACGAGTTACATAAAATTCAAGGGTTGTTCTTAAAAAAAAAAAAAAAAAAACTTAAATACACATACACACAAAAAGAAACATATGCACAGATACTGTACCTGGATCACAAAGCCAAAACTACCACATTATCCAGCCCTTTGCAGAAAAGGTTTGCCAACCCCTGTCTAGATCGTCAGTAAGCATTTTGATTTTCAGGAAAGGACTCTTAGGAAGGGCTTGTTGTTGTTAAGTGCTGTCGAGTTGATTCCAACTCATGGCAACTCTGTACAGGGTTTCCAAGGAGGGACTGGTGGGTTTGAACTACCAACGCTGTGGTTTGGAGTCCAGTGCTTATCCTACAGCACCAGACCTAGACTCCTGGGAAGGACTTAGCTATCCAAAAAACACCTTACTCAATGAGGACAACTCTGAACCTTTTCTTTGTTAAGACAAAAGGGCAGCTCTCAGTTACTGGTATTTTAGAAAGAAATCTTAAATAATCCACGGCTCAGGAAGTGTCCATGTGTACCACAGCGTAATCCTGACACCACAGTGTCTCAGGTGAAGGTGAAGAGAAGAAAAGCTGACCCTAAAACATGTGTGGACCAAACGGTGCCTCGAGTACCCAGGACTTCATGAGAAGTCTGAAATAAACAGTGTGTTTGTGAAAGGGCAATAAGGAACCAACACGAGGCAGTGGTATCAGGAGCTGACTAAAGTCAGCCTGTGTTTTACAAAGATAATCCAGTGGTCGATCACTTGTGTGTTCTAAACCACTAAAGTCCAAGACAGAGGAAAATCCAAACCCTGGATGTAGAAGTTAACTTGCTGACCACTCAATGACACTGTGATCATTAGCCACCCTTCAGGCTTAGAACTGAACTCAACCCCGTGCCTCAACTTTCAGCCACATAGCAGACAAGTGAACAATAAGGCCAACAGCTACAAGAGGGAGGTACACACTCCTTAGAAATGTCAACCATCCAAGACCCAAGGGACAGCATTTGCTTCGGGAGGAGGCTCAGAAGGCAGGAAGGGACAGGAAAGAAACATGAATGGAAACGGGAAACACAGGGAGGAAGTGGGAAGAATGATGTCACGTGGTGAGGCTTGCAACCTGTTACGAAATAAAATGTGTGTGGGTTGTTGAGTGGGAAACCAATTTGCTCTGTAAACTTTCACCCAAGATGCAATAAAAAATTAAAAATAGAGCTGATCTGAGGGATGTCCACTTACACTGAGTGCATGCAATCCCCAGCAAGCTACTGCCACAGTCAGAACTCAACCAAGTGAGGAGCAGGGAGCCAGTTTTCTGTGAAGGACAACACTTTCCCAAGATCACATTCTCCTCCAAGGCCCTCGTCAGCTCAGCCTTGCCTTCTACCTGTCAGCTCAGCCTTGCCTTCTACCTGTCAGCTCAGCCTTGCCTTCTACCTTCGTTTCCCTCCCCTGATACGTACTGAAGCTTGCACAGGACTCCAGGGGTTCTGGGACCTGCATTGATTGTTAAGAAGCACCTTTTGTTTCTACCACATTTCAATGCCCCTGAATGTCAGACCATTACATCCTTGAAGTCAGATGGTTTAACTAGCTGCATTTCTTCTTAATGGTAGAAAAATAAGCAATCGTATCGGAGATTGAATCTAACACAGCTTTCGTTCATTTACACTTCACACACCTTGGAACTGATACTGCCAGCTCCATCTGGCTGGGGAAAGCTGAGGTTGGGAAGTGGGGAAGCCAAAGTTCAAACACAAGAGAGAAAAAAAACAAAAAACTTTTCCTTGCTTTGCCTCAATTTCTAACTCTTAAAAAGAGCCTAACATAACTAAGGACTTTGAATCCAAGTTTACCATTCTTAATGAAGACAGTTCATATTACCAAGACATTCCTTCAAACCACAGAAACCAAAGCAAACCACTGCCACTGAGTCGATTCCAGCTCACGGGGTCCTTACAGAGTAGAAGTGCCCATAAAGTTTCTAAGGCTGTAAATCTTTCAGGAAGCCGATCTCTATGGTTAAACAGTCCAATGCTAATCCCACTGGGCCACCGCCTCCTTAAAACTCCACAAAGCAGATGTTAAGCTACTTCTCCCCTTCTTTTTACCATACTTTTTAATCACCACACATTATCCATCTTCTGTAAAATTTGGTCCGGTGACCTGCTTCAAAATACTGCCTTCTGTGAGTCGTATCTGTGATAATAAAGTATTGTGTCGAGCTGTGTCCAGCCTTTACAACAACCTCATTTCTGTTAAACAGCAGAGTGGGCACCTCATTGTCTGTACTCAAAGCTCCTCAGGTACACCAGGTCTAGTTAACCTCAATGTTGAGCAGGGGGGACTGCTTCAGAAATTTACTAGGTTATTCCAAATAGTCATTTTTAGTTGCCAGTTTAAAGAATACAACTTTATTTAAAGTGTTTTGATTAGTCCAAAGCCCTGAGCTTTTAAAAAATTCTATATGTCTGGTGTGGCACTGTAGGATAACCACTGAAATGCAAGGTCGGTTCAAATTCACAATCCACTCCTTGGAAACCTTATACAGGGTCATTATGAGTCACAGCTGACAAACATACCAACCAGGCGAACACTTACACACAACGAAGAAACCACACCAACCTGGCAGAGCTGAAAGGTGAGCAGCTCTATGGGAACATCACTAAAGCTCCCAGGCCCCATTAGTCAAACTAGACAGTAGGACTCTAGAAGGTTCTAGATTGCAATGTTGGGGAACTGTGAGACAAAGGTGATTTCCTTTATTATTCTGAGCTGAAAGCACACAGACAGGCACAGATCAAACCAACCAACTGCTACAGAAAAACGCCAGCACCAGAATCGCGGTCATTCGTCAGAGGTGGTCATACCAATTACAGAGAGCAAAGATAATGAGATGTTTAGGGGACCTCCATAAGTTTCTCAAAAAAACGACCTGGCACTGCTACAGCACGTTATGTGAGTTTTCCTTTTACAGCTTTTGAAGCACTTAAATGTATATCTAGCACTTGATTTAATAAGGAAACTGGAGGCACACTTAGAGGTAGGCACATATTATCTCTTTTATAGACAGTTAATTGGGATAATGTGATTTCCCAGTGCTGACTCACAGTCACTCAAAAATACGACCTAACTATTAATTCAACCCTTATAAATCTAGCTAGGCCTCAAATGAACTTGGGGCACACAGGTAATTAGAGTGACCTGGATTAAAATTTTCAAATGGTTAATGACCACAGG